TTAACTAATTTAGACTAATGTGATATGATTTGATAATTAGACTGGTTAGTGAAGTAAAGCATGATGCACACAAAACAGTCTCAGTACAGTGTCATATATATAATGTAAGCACATTGTTATTTCAATAATATCATGCTGGACGCCATACTTGATTTAAGTTGCTAAATTTAGCTGGATTTTAATATTATCCCTCTAGATAGATTTTATGACCATAAAAACATTGCAAAAGTGGTATTTTAAAAAAAATCGAACTAAAACGTTCGAGTATATGCGGCTTCTTGTATATGATGGCCATCTTAAACGCCATCTTAAATATTCCGAAATGCTAAAAGATGCTAGCAGGGCATCATTCGGATTCTTATTATACACTACATCCCCTACTAAAAATCAATAATAACCTGGTCTGGAGGTACTTTTGTAAAGGATACCTCCTGGCTGCTGGACTAGTAAGGAGTGATATCTTCGCAGATCAGCTTCACAGGATCAACATTCTTCTACGTTATAAAGGCTATCCTAATAACTGTCCATTATTATCGTCAGGGACTGGCTTGAAATATACTGGTGAAAGAATTTTACGCAATACATAAAAGTAGTCAGTTAATTCCAATCGAAAGAAATACATAAGAAACAGGGCACATTTATTTATACAAGTAGTCCTGTTTACAGCCCATTAGTTAACTTTAATTTCACCTGTTTTAACCACTTCCACCACTTATCAGTTAGTCAGTAGAGAATAAATGACGTCGCAAAAGAGACGCTTAACGTTTCAATTTGTACTGTCGTGACTTCAGTAAAACGTGCGCATGCCATGAATCACGAGAAGAATTAGGTACTCTGTAGGCTACAACACAGCTTGACATATGAACTTCAAAAGCAAGAAATATAAATATTTTTTACTCTTAATTTTGGTTTGATTCACTCTTGAAACAGAACACTTTCGGAGAAACTGCGGAAGTACATTTAATATATTGTTATAAATTGTGAAACTAATAGGCCTTGAAATCTGTCAGTGCAATTACTAAGATGCTTTTAATGGTCAACACAGTATACACAGCAATAGAATTAGTCATAAAGTAGCTAAAATGTGAAACTAGAAAATTAAAAAGAAACCTTTTTTTAGGCCAATAACTAGAAATAGTTACAGATGAGTAAGACATCGAAGGCAGATATGAAAATATACCTAGAAAATAAAACTTCAGATGAAAAGGGTCTTTTTTATGTTTCGGATAACAGCTTTCTTTAGCTTATTGTATCAATTTCCATTCAACATAATCTATCGCTCTTGTTCCCGATTCAGGAAACACTATGGCTTCAATTTAGAACAAAGCTCCTATATGTTGAGCTTATTTTGAAAGTTTTATCAGTGTTTTTATTTAAACAGTAGGTTTAAGTTCGCCATTTCATTCATTATGAAACAAGAGTTGTTAAATGGCAAGGCAATTCTAAGGTAATGAAACAGAATCATAAAGAGGAAAATATGTGATTGTGTGCGTAATAAAGCATTGAACACAATTATGCCCATAAATAATGGTAATTATTATAGTGATAACCAAGGTTCTGTGATAATATTGAGTAATTAAATAACAAATAAAACTAGAATGGTTGGTTATTAGTTTCTATAGTATTCGCTTGTCAAGTTTCAGAGTCTCCATCCTATTACTTGTTCTTCTGAACAAGAAAGAGCTGTATGTAACCTACCATCAATATTTATTCTTCATTAAATATTTGACTATTTTTATCTTTGGGTCAAACTTATTACTTTAATAATTTATTTTCTAATTTATATATTTATTTTTAAACAACGCAACAATGTATTTTTTCAAGTTAATGTTGTTGTGTTTTCATCATTATCAGTATAGCTCAAAGTGATGTTGTTATAATGAAATCGTCTATATCTATCTTCCTATACATCCATCTTTTTATCTAAGTGATTTCATTTCATGTACAGCATTTTTCGGCGTATAAAATAAGAATTTTTTTGACGGTTTCCCCAATCCTTGACTTATACACCACATCGACTTATCTAAAGATTAGTCATTAAAATTGTTGTTTCATCTATGTAATAAAATAAATAAAATAATTTTAAATTCGTTATATTTTTATTTCATATTCTCCGTTTTTTAGCTACTTTTCGCCATCTTCAAATTTCTATACATTTCCCACCATATTTCTTTCGCTGGCGTACAGTATTCCCTCACAGTGGTTCTGTACTTGGCCCATCGTCGTCTTATGCTCCACATCGACTAATATCAATGTTACAGTAAAAGTCCTTAGTATTCGTTATAAAGAGGTACATGAGTGCTTCCTGTAATTGTAATGTTGCGAAAGAAGTCATGGAAGCGTTATATTTGTTGAAGTTTTAATCTTTTATATACAAATACAAGATTCTATATTGATTAAGGCTTTCATAAACTGAGAATTAAAGTTTAATTCAGGGGTGAGTCTGAGGGCTTATGACACTAAGAAATCTGGTTTCAATACTCTCGATGGTCACAACACAGATAATCCATTATGTATCTTTTGTGCTTAATAATTGTTTAAAGTTTCGCACAAAGCTACACAATGGGCTATCTGTGCTCTGCCCACCACGGGAATCGGAACCCGGTTTCTAGCGTTACAAGTCCGCAGAGATACCGCTGTGCCACTGGGAGGCTTGTGCTTAATAAAAAACAAAACAGAAATTAAAGTTTAAACTGTTCATATAGTAGTCTTGTGTTTCAGAACTTGGTGAGCATATTTCAGAAAACACACATATAACATTCTTCTAAGATACTACATTAGAACTTCATTAGTTTAACAAACTAGCATGTAAGAAAGATATACATTAAACATGCAGGAACTACATTAGAACTTCATTAGTTTAACAAACTAGCATGTAAGAAAGATATACATTAAACATGCAGGAACTACATTAGAACTTCATTAGTTTAACAAACTAACATGTAAGAAAGATATACATTAAACATGCAGAAACTACATTAGAACTTCATTAGTTTAACAAACTAACATGTAAGAAAGATATACATTAAACATGCAGAAACTACATTAGAACTTCATTAGTTTAACAAACTAGCATGTAAGAAAGATATACATTAAACATGCAGGAACTACATTAGAACTTCATTAGTTTAACAAACTAGCATGTAAGAAAGATATACATTAAACATGCAGGAACTATATTAGAACTTCATTAGTTTAACAAACTAACATGTAAGAAAGATATACATTAAACATGCAGAAACTACATTAGAACTCCATTAGTTTATCAAACTAGCATGTAAGAAAGGTATACATTAAACATGCATTTGTTGAGAAAAAATGTGCGTTCTGCTTTAAGAGTTAAAAATCAATTGTTCAACTTCTCGCAGCTGATGTATTATTTATAAGCTCAGAAAATGTACTGTTGTTAAAAAAAAAAAAACTCCCACCAGAAGTCGCAATAGTTTTTGTAATTTATAAACAAATATAAAAGTATTTACGCTGTTGCAAAACTACAAACAAATCAGAAAGATAAGCAATTAATATAAAATAAATGACCATAAATTATGGTAATATAAGGATGTAAAATAAGTGTTGGAAAGATTACTGCTGGCGATCTTGACAAAAAAGAAAGGCAAGAGCTTTTTTTAAATTATACCTTACTGACTAAAATGAAGAAAATAAAATATCTTATGTTTCAACAGAGTAACAAACCGTGCAATGGATGAAAATATCAGAATACTTACAATCGTTGAGATAACAGCAATAAGCAAAAAATAAAAAATCAACAATTACAAACCAAACATTAAAGAATGCCACGATAAATAATATAGACATCAATAGAGAAATACTCACGTACATCAATCATTTATACTGAACGATGTTGTTAATATCTTGGAAGACAAAGGATACGATGTAGAAAAATGAATCTGACGGTAAACTGTTGTCCAAATGTGATTATCTGACTAACTGGATGTTCCATTTCATGATAAGAAAGCAAAGCACAAAGAAAAAACTATGAAAAACTAAATATTATTTATATAGATGAGTATCGATACGAGAACCAGAATTCTTAATCGATTTTAACCCTTTATTTCAAATTTGGTCTATCTCTCTCCCGATCTATTACCTCTCTATTTCTCAGTATAGATATTATTTCATTATTACTTCTATAGTTTATCACTGTGTTTGTTTGTTGTTATTTTTGCCGTGCCTTCTTTTCTTCCTTGTATTTTCTGTGTTTTGGTTCAACATTCCGTTTCTTTTCTTAGTTTTACCAATGCTGTTCATTTTCGTTTTGTTGTGCGTCTCCAATGCAGTTATTTGAATTCCCTCCCAGCCACCATGCAGTCTTTTTATACACCCTTCTTGTATTTCCACTTCTTTTAGATTACCTTCTAATCCATTCACCTTAGATTGTTCATCCTCTTTAGCACTTCCTTGAAAATCACGTCGTTTCTACCATCACTCTTTACATGTCTGATAATAGTAGAAAGAGTTTCTTTAGATATTCGACTCTTAATAATGAAGCACCAACGAAGTTAAATAAATGTATATAAATCGCTTAGTTACGACGTATTTTATACTAAACACGGCTTTGTTGTTACAAGATACAGTATTTTTAATATATAAGTTCTTTCGAGTGGATTGTCTTTAACTAAGACTTAACGTTAGCTGCTTAAATCTCGAGGTTATAACTGTGATTTACTTAAATAGGTTGTTTAGTCTCTGCTTCTCCACTATGTAAAAATATTTCATAGCCAATGAGAGGGACTCCCCCCTCATTTTTAGAAATATATATAAATTTCTTTAGAACATTTTTAATTATTACGGGTGTGCGAGAATACACTGCAGCAACTGGTGACCAGACGCGTATGTGGACGACTGCAACATGTAGTCGATATTGTTGTCTTCGTTTCTGACCGCCTGGGGGCGCTATTGATGGTGCATTACCTTACGAAGGTAAGTAATATTGGCACAGGGATTTACTCTCTTCATGAGAAGAACGTAGAAGAGAGTATCGGTGTAAACCTCCATCCTGGCAGGTTAAAAAGGTGAGAAGCTCTGAGACATTCAGAACAAAGCAGGCTAAAAGTGTTAAAGAGACAACAGACTCTGAGAAAATTACGAACTCGGTGAGTACGTAAACCTGTTGAATCTTTAAATAATCAAAATTGTATTAAATTATTGAAAACAATAGGAAACAATATTACTTTTAATGCATTGAATATTCGTCATTGATAATTCGTCATCAAATGTATTGACTTAGTCATAGAATACATGATCGTGGTTTTTGAAACTCTGTTTTTTACAAGGTCACCAATTCAAAAATTGGTTTTTAGCGCAAATCTGCATGCGCTGCATCCATCGCGAAGATTGAAATATGAGTTGAAAACACCAATCCTTTTACTACTGAACGAAGCATAATAGGAAGGGTATAGATACTACACCTAAAACTCGAAATCAAAATACAATAAAGTTGAAGCATAAGAATAAGTAACGCTTAATATATATGTATACGCTATAAATAAATTGATATGTATATATACACATATATCTGCTTGGCATTGACTTCATGCAAGTTTCAAATCATTAATATTTTCTTTACTATTCTTTTTGAATACCATTTTGAGTAAGGTTTAAAACATGGTTAAAAACGATAAAATGTACTTAGACCTTCACTAGTTCACTTTTTTTTTTAAACTCTAAATCACACGCTTTATTTGTAGCGAATTGTGTTGCTAGAGTAAAAACCTTACTTATACTTCTTACAAATTAGTATCCATATATCCTAAAGCCATCTGGCTCCGTTAGGTGTCTATAGAAAGTTCCACATTAAATATAATGCTTAATTCACTAAAAACAAACTGAAGAAGTAAAATTCACACATTTTTAAAACCAAAATTCAAAAAACAAAATTTGTTTAATGATGTTTTTTTATTTAAGGGATAAAATCCAATAATTAAAAATGCATCAAAATATTTTATATTTAATTTACGTTAATGAGAAACATCGGAATATGTTAATTGACTCCTTCTAACTTGAATTTATCGAGAATATCGATCTATGTGTGTGTGTGTTAAGTAACTCTACTTAACTGAGAATGTCAATAATAACTATTGTCTAAGTTTATAGTACTGACAATTTCGTACTAGTTAATTCACTAAATTTGGTTATCTTTGTATATTTTCTCTGTCGACAACATCGTATGAACTCATTATATAGTTCTACTAGTCGAACCTAAGTTCACTGAGACTAATTCAGTTAATCTAACTTGAATTAATAGCCTATGTTATCATTAATAAATCCCATTAGTCTTGCTTAGGCTTATAAATGATATCGATATTCTTGTGGGTTCATTAACTCATTTCTTAATTTATTAATTTCGTAATCTAACTTGAATTCGCTGAGAATATCGGTTTATATTCGTTTAAGAATCCCGTTAGTCTAACTTAGAACCATCAAAGTATCGGTAAGTAATTCTTGTAATCTAGATTAACGTCGTCAATATTCTTCTGTGCATCTGACAGTTTACTCTAACTGTCCATAGGTTTTATCTAGTCAGCTTTGACTTACGACGTAAACTCTGCGATAAAATATAACTGATATGTCAAACGTAATGTCCTTGGTTTTAGTTAAGCATGAAAATATATCATTACAGCAAAGAAAGTCTATGTCTGTCAATATGTTTGTTTCAGTTAAACGTGGAAATATGTATATCACAACAGCAAAGCAAGTTTATGTCCGTTAATACGTTAAACATGGAAATATGTAAATCATAACAGCAAAGAAAATATACTGTTTGTAATAATTCAGTATTACTTTTCGTATTTATGAATATCGTGCAAAACCTGTCTGAACTAAGCAACCCAAAACCATAATTTTCCAAAAAATATTTTGTTTACAGGTTGAAACAAAACTCGTCTCCTGTAGAAGTTATTTGTTGCCTCTGCTCTAAGCTCATACTGGAATAAATGTAGCTGTACTTTCCCATAAATTATAGGAGAACAATTATGGCATTAGATTAGTACGAAAGCATTTCATTGCACTATTCTAACTATTATAATGATACCGTGAGGGATTAGGCTGCTATGACTTTCCACTTGTCCAAATAGAAGTCGAGTGGATCAAAATATTTTAACAAATAAGCTGTGAAAAAAGAAGGAATGGAATGTTAGTTTCTTCGTAAAAGAAGATATTTTTCTCGGTATGTCTTTAAATTAATTGATAAATAATGAATGCTAAATAAATGATAATTAACTTTATATTGTGTATATATATATATATATATATCCAAAATATGAAATAAATAAATTAATATATATATATATTTATATGTGTGTGTAAATATATACATATGTGTGTATATATATATATATATATGTGTGTTTGTGTGTGTGATCTGGCTAGAAATAACATTACAGCTGACAGATTTTAAATAAATATCAGTTATGTATTATATTGTGGTTAACTTGGGAGCTTTGACATTATTATTAACCTTTAGTAGTTAGAGCTTTTTTTACAGATACAGTTGAAGCTGCTTTCTTTGAACTGAATATTGGTTAGATATGAAATTGTGGCTAATTGATGAGCTTTGACACTACTGTCTTGCAAAGTCATTTAACAAAGTTGAAGAAGTTACTGCTTATGTAGATCAAAATACGATGTTGACTTCGTGTAACTCGATTTTCAGAAAGTATTTGACCAGGTGTCCTATAAAAGTCTTGTTAAAAAGGTATCTATGTAGGAGTGGAGAACAGGGTGTCTCATTGGATAGAAAATTGGCAAGATGGAAAGAAAGCAGAGTATTGTTGTAAATAGAGCTCACTCAAGCTGGATTCATGTCATAAGTGGGGTACTTAGGGCTCAGTATTAGGACTATTGCCCTTCTTGATTTACATCAATGGCATAGATGAAGTAATGGTAAAAAAAATGGCCGCGTGTAATGCTCTTCAGCCAACGGCTATAGATGTACAAGAATTGATCAAACTTTTAATCCTGGGGAATAAAAGCGCTTCCAACCAACTGAAGCTTTTAAAGAATATAGCATTTCGAACCTGGTGATCCTTTTAATATATATGTATGTAGGCAAAGATAGAATTAACTTTATTTTCTGGAAATAATACTTGAGAGTATATTTCGATATCTACATTATTCTATGGCATAAACCGGTTGATAAATGTGTATATTTTTAATGACTTGGGTTTTAAGAAATGTTTTCGTTATAAACGTCATTAGATTACATGTTATTGCTTGTACTTGTTTTTGATTGTTTACATTTCGTATGTTAAAACTTACATTATTAGAACTATGTTAAGCCACGTTATCTACATGTGTTAGAAACAGTAGGGTTCGGAAAGCCAAATAGAGGCTAAAATGTTCATCAAGGGATATGTGCTAAGATATCATTATTTATTTTTTAAATTAGTAGCCTTTCTGACACAATAATGACAATGAGTTGAGAACGAGATCTTATCCGACTAGCAAATGATGTGTGATACAAACACATGGCACTTTTATAAATTAACGCTTGCATTCACATCTTACTTAAAATGATGTATTATTTGAGTTTTAAAATTTATTTTACATCATTTGGTGACAATTAAAACTTTCAAATAGCCAATGAAAACAGAATCCAAAATTTGACTAAATAAGTTCAATGACATTCAAATATGTTGGTTGGTTGGATCAGGTTGATATTAAAAAAAAAATAATAAGAACAGAAAACTAACAAGGTAAGAGTGAGATTTTTCCTGTTTTGTCCGCGTTTGAGGAAATTCTCCAGAATATTTAATGGTAGTATACTGACCTCTGACACCTTTGTAATTTCGAGAGATCCAGAATTAGTATTTCTACATTATTTCATAGACATAATAATACTTTTTTTAGATGAAACTAAAGAAGATATTTGTCTGTGAATCTTGCATATATATTTCTTTTTTCATTTGAATTTCTTTCGGAATGAATAAAAGTACGATATTTATTATGTTGAATTTATTTTAATTATACTGATTCAAAATAAAATAAACTGTATCGATCCAGCTATGTCTTCTTTCGCTCTTCAACTAGATTGAACGCATTCTTTAGCAATTAATTCACGTTTTTCCAATCACAATTTAGAAATAGAATATTGTTTTCAAAACAAACGTTTAAAAAATCTTGACTAAAGAGCACTTGACTGTTTGTAGTCAAAATCTTTAAATTTTGTTTAGTTTGTATTTCGCGCAAAGCTACACGAAGGCTATCT